AATTCGGAAATGCAACGGTTGGAACGGCCGCTTCCCTACGACTTTAATGTTTTTACCGGTTTGATACATCACATGGAAGAAGACAATCATGTAGCGCAAGACTGAACACGACCACACCAAAGCAGATCTACACACATATAGGAAAGAGAATACTTCCGCATAAAAAGCAAAAGCCAGAAGCGCAGGGAAGGAACTTGCGTGTGATATACTGGGAGGTTTATGGTATTGAATCTGCACACATTAAACATTAAAAATGCACATAGAGAGTAGTTTACCTTTGTGTGTAAATAAAACCTTTTAGTTTCCACAATTCTGACTTCATATAAATGTTCTTAGCTCATCTAAAGAGGTACAGGAAGATTTTTTTAAAGATAATCTTAGACTAAAACATTAACTTGGGAGTTTTTTCACCTTCCTTGCCATCCTTGTCACTGTGTCTTTTAGCAAAAAGATGTGGTGTCCTTGTTCATTTTAACTCTAATGGGTCTTACTAAAAAAGGATCCAAATTAGAGCAGGTGGCTGTTTTCTTGCAGCTTTTTTTCCTGACTAATGATGATTAATGCAGACCTGCTTTACAAGAACAACATATTCTCTTGTCCTGCATTTTAAGGAGTTGATTAAACATTGTGTCCCTGTAGGTAAACAGGAAGTCATTGAATTGCATATTAAATGCTTAAATTAAAGACTGAAGATTTCTAAATATTTTCTGTCTGACCTTAGGATACTAAGAGAATCTAAATTTTATTTCAATTAAGTTTACTTATATAGCGCCAATTCACAAGATATGTCATCTCAGGGCACTTTACAGAAAATTCAACAAGATCATACAGTCAAATTGATTCAAGGTTTTCTATCTAAGGAAAACCAGTTGGTTGCATCAACTCATTGAGTTGAAGGCAATCGCTCACACAAAGCATGCTTGTAGCGACAGTGGAGAGGAAAAACTTCCTTTTAACAGGAAGAAACTTCCAGCAGAACCAGGCTCAGTGTGAGCGGCCATCTGCTGAGGCCGACTGGGGTTCAAGGAGACGGAAGAAGAGACACAAAAGGCAACTGTAAAAAGCACCGCTCTCCAGGAAACACGCAGCCAGGCAGACGAGCTCCGAGCCAGCTCCCATGTCAGATGATGAAGAGCACATCCAGTTAGTCACAGTCAGAGAAACAGGACCACACTGGAAAACCGGCTGATCTCCAACATCTATAACAAAGGTGTTGATGGCAGCAGCACAGCTGTCTCTCCAGGATGGAGTCACAGCCAAACAGGAACTTTATGCAAGTTTTATTTTAAGTAAATACATTCTGTGCAGCAAACTACAATTCAAAAAATTTTAATATGTAGGTTAAGTGAAGCAGTTTGCAAATAAAAGGAGATGATTTACTTTTAAAAGAAGTAAAAAAAAAGCCCAATATGTTATACTGAGTGCATAATCTTCAATTACCTTTTAGGAAGGTAATAATTATTCCATTGCAGATCATCTTATTTAGCTGCTGAAATTAGGGGGAAAAATACTCTTATGTTAAACATATTTTTTCTAAATGTGTGCAGTATATAAGCAGCCACTTTTTTCCTAACCTTTTCTTAACTGCTAAGCTCTACAAAAACAAAGCCAAACAGAGAAGTGTGCAACTTTTAACACGAGAGCAGCAGTGTAGCAAGCAATTGCTTTTCTTATAAGTGTAAATTTGTAAAAAAAAAAAAAAAAAAATTGTAAATTGTGGGGGAAAAAACGAGCCCAAATCTGGGCTGATATTTAATATTGCAATTATGGCTGATAACTTTTTTTTTACTTCAATTTAACTCCTAAAATCCTCAGCTGGATCGCAATCACTGTAACTTTATCAAAAAAACTTCCCATAACATACGGATACAAAAACAGACACTACATGTAAA